ATATATACACACAGTTGCAATCAACATTGCTCAACCCCCTTGACCTGCAAGACATTTTGTTGCAGAGAAGAAAATGTAATAAAAACAGTTCAACAAAGGCATCAGTGAAATATTAGAGAAAGTTTCTTAATACACATTTGAGTGATTCTGAGAATGTAACATTGATGAACAATGATACAAATCAAATTGGCTCTAACCATTCATGTTCAAACTTATTCAACCCCCAAAAGTCAAATTTTGTGCAGAATCTTTTATTCTTTAAAACCACTAATTAACGCTGCCTATAAGTGCTCAGACGCGTCTGTCGTAAAACCACCAATAAACACTGCCTATAAGAGCTCAGAAGCTTCTGTCACCTCTCTACTGCAGTCTTGGCTCATTCCTCGCCTGAAAAAGCTTTCAGGTCACTGATAATCTTTGGTTTGCACATTGCCACTGCTTTCTTCAAATTCAGCCAAATATTTTCACTGAGAGTTAAATCTGGAGACTGAACAGGCCACTCAAGTACATCCTATGACTGATCCCTGAACCAAGCCGAAGTAGATTTGGATTTGTACTTTAGGATAGCTGTCCTGCAGGAAAGTCCATTGATCATCAGCTTCCTTCTTTGCACCAAAGGCATCACAGTTCTTGCCAAAATGGCCTGATACTTCAAAGAGTCCACAATGTCCTTCATACAGTCATGATTTCCACTTCCTGCAACAGTAAAACACCCCCTAACAGGACAGGTCCACCTCAATGTTTGACCATGGAGATGGTGTTCTCCTGTTTATAAGCTTTGCCTTTTTTGCACCAGACATGCAGCTGAACCATTGCTCCAAAAGTTGCAGTTTGGTCACATCGCTCCATAAAACATTCTTCCAGAACTAATTCTGTTTTTATTTAATAGAGTTTCTAAAGGCTTAATTGTGTTTAAGACAATTTTGTTCCCCACCATACAAAAAAAAAAAGGGGACTTAAAAACAGCAATGTTGAATAGGGGTTGAATAATTATGACACAGCTGTGTTATTAAAAAAAATCCTATAACTCAAAAACATGACATTATATATTGACATTATCACTTTTAATATGCCAGTAAACTGTTAATGCAATTTTTATAAAATCTTGGAACTTCAGAAAAGCTTGCATTTGTAAAGTACTTCAGTCTCTGAGGGGTTGAACAATTTTGATTGCAACTCACTATATTGATTGCAACACTATATTTTCACCAGCTAAAAATGGTTTTAAGTCAGTTGTTTTTATCTTTTTCTGTAGTGTGTCAGTAGGAAATATCAGTTCACATTTCCAAACGTCAAGCATCTTGAAGACGTTGCCACAGTTCTTCTGGGTTTAGTCTGTCTGAGTTTGTTCTGTTTCTTCATGTAATCGCAGACAGACTGGATGATGCTGAGATCAGATCTCTGTGTGGAGCACTGGCTGCTGTCAGACTCCTTGTGCAAACAAAAATCTCACTGGATTATTACAATTAATGGCAAAATTAATGTTTGGAAATGTGAACTGATATTTCCTACTGACACACTACAGAAAAAGATAGAAATAACTAACTTTTTTTTAAATAAACCATTTTTTTAAGCTGGTGAAAATACTAGTGTTTACCACTGTGTATATACATACAGTAAACACACACACACACACACACACACACATATATATATATGTGTGTGTGTGTGTGTGTGTGTGTGTGCCTACTGAACCATATTTTGGGGACAAATTTGTACCCAAAAGTGAGCAAAACCTGACAAAAATCGCCATAAACCTCCATTTGGGGATGTCCTCATTTGTAAAACTGGTATAAAAATAAAGTAAACAAAGTTTTTTTTTAATTGTAAAAATGCAGAAAGTTTTCTGTGAGGGGTAGGGGTGGGTTTAGATTAAAAAGTGTAACTATCTTTTTGATCTCAAGCGAGTGTTAACTACGGCTACTCACAAATCAGGCAACCAACTGGACCTTATTTACACACGACACTGCTCCACTGATCATGTACTGGTTACTCCACTGCACACCTCGGATCACTTCCTCCTCACTCTTAACCTCAACATGGCTCCTGACACAACACATACCCCTCCACATGTCACTTTTCGACGTAACCTACGCTCTCTCTCACCCTCCCGGCTATCTGCTATGGTTTCATCTTTGCTTCCTTCCCCTGAACAGTTATCATCTCTTGATGTTAACAGTGCTACTGATACTTTCTGCTCCACTCTTGCGTATTGTTTAGACACTGTCACACTGTCAAACACATCTTACCAGCAAACGAGGAACCTGGAGGTGAACGGCCTCATTCATTTCTAGTGAAATTCAAAGGCTTCTTTCTAATAAAGCAACAGCATCATGCAATCACGTCGCTCCAAGACCATCCCGTTTCATGAAAGTGAATGACGTGCGTGCGATTAAACGATGAACTCTCCCTCTGATAATGCATATATGTTGTTTCAGAGGCGCACGCCGTCATGCCTCCGCTGGAGCAGTTCATGGAGGTGTGTGTTGAGGAGAGACGGGAGCGCTTCTACAGAGACGTGGAGCGTGGAGACCTGGTTATCGGAAGAATCAGTTCGGTGCGAGACTTCGGCTTGTTCGTAACTCTTCTCTGCACTGCTGGAGGACTGGAACGAGATATTGAGGATCTGGAGATAAAGGTTGGGTTTAAGTTATTTATTTATTTTTGTCTGAAGTGTGTAGTTAAGAGTGTACTTTCAGATATTTATAAAACTGTGCCATTTTACAAACAAACATACACGCACATATATATATATATATATATATATATATATATAATATGTATATGGGTCAAAGACGAGACGTCCCATTTTGTTGACTGCATCAAATTAAATTTACGAAAGTGATTTTATATAAACAGAAAACACATTAAATGCAAGTAAAGTGCCTTTGAATAATTTTTGTGAAAATAAAATGTAGGTGAAATAATGTTCTATCTTCATCCAGCGTAACAGATGGTTATTTTGACCTGTACTTGCTAAAATATATAAAAGAATAAGGGATCATACTAAATTTTATATTTGAAGTGATTAAGAACTGAACTGTGATCCTCAAATAGTCGTTTAATGTCATCTAATGGTTCTTGATCTAAATATGCCTGAAAAGATTTATTGTTATATGAACTAATGTTACACTTAATACAATTCTTACGTAAATCACTGTAAAATGTATGACGGTTATTATTTCTTTCTAAGGAAAAAAAAAAAGGACACGTTCTAATGCACAGAAAAAAATAAAGCTGTATTTAACTCTTATTGTTTTGTTGCTTGAAAACCCCTTTCATCTTTGACCTATATACTAATTGTTTTATAGTTTATTTTATTTGTTCGTTCAGTAGTTTATGATATTTTAAAAAATACATTGAGAAGTATATATATATTTTTTTAAGGTATAAGGAAAATGTCATACTTTTTACATGAGCCATTCAATTGAAACTTGTTGAAAATGGTGTTAAAGTTTTTTCAAAACCATATGATAACTACTTAGAGTTCTTAAAGAAATGTTAAACTCGATTTTTAAAATACTTACCATTCAGTTGCAGCTTGTCAGACAAACGTGATTCTAAAAATAACTTGTCTATTAAAAGGCCCTCTGTCCATTACGATCTGTTCCTTCCGCTGGAAATCACGATGATCCTCTGTCTTATTACCAAATTGGGGATTTGATTCGAGGTATGATACTTTAAAAAAAAAAAAAAATGAATGTCTATATATTAATACTGAAATGTTTAGATTTGATAAAGTGATATTTTATGGCACAGCTGGGGTGAAGGGCATTGACCGCTACCACGAGAAGCTGACCTTATCACTGTATTCATCCTCACTGGCTCCTCACTTGGATAAAGTTAAGCTGGGAGTCATAAGCAAAGAAGATCTTCCTCTTCATTATACGTACGTAAAGAGAAGAAAATGAATATTGACCCGTTTGTCTCAGACTTCCTGTTGTTGATGGTTTTCTCCGCTCTTCCAGCCGGGGTGAAAAGGTGGCCACAGACAGCAGCCAGACGTATGAGAAGCTTTTGGAGAGCTCTCTTGGTTTGTCCAACCCTTTAAATGTGCACTTCCTCCTGGGGAAGCTGGGAATAAGCGACACACAAACACCTTCACTCATGAGGGGCTTGCAGAGGTACACGCTGTCTGTGGCTTTTATACCATTCCCAGTTTTCATAGTGTTTTTTTTTTTTTTTTTTTTTCAGATAAACTGATTTTTTTTGTATATACACAGTAAACGCTTCAAAGAAGATGATTTTGCTACAGCTATTCGGAAGAAACAGTCTGTGTCCTGGGCCTTGAAATGGTTTGTTTACCTGACTTTTCCTTTTACTCCAGTAAATCAACACAATTTTCAATTGTTTTATTTAAAAATGCATTCAAATGTTTTGTTCACTCAAAAATGAAAACTGGCTGATAATTTACTCACCCTCAGGCTGTCCAAGATGTATGTGACTTTTTTTCTTGAGTTGAACCGTAAAGAAGATTTTTAGCTGAGACCAAGGTCCTGCCATGCAAATCAGCGGCTGCCCATATTTGAAGGGGAAAAAAACATATCAAGCAGCACAAAATTAATACTCGTGGCTACTGATGATATAGTGAGGTCTTATAAAACGAAACGATCAGTCTCAGATTCAGAAACTGAACGTTATTTACAACATTATTACCTGTAATTGCAAAACACAAGATCCAGGGGTCATGGCTGGATCAAGATCCAAATCCTCCCACCTTACATAACCCTAAACCCAACCATCTCCACCCCCGATTTTACTCCAGTAAATCAACACAATTTTCAATTGTTTTATTTAAAAATGCATTCAAATGTTTTGAATGTCATTCATTTCTGAATTGCATAAAGTCCGTAATAATTTGAATGATTAAGATGTGTGCACTAATTTTAAGCTATAAGGCAGATGTATTACATTTTACTTGATGGTTACGCTGCGCCATTTTTAGAGTTATTAAAATGAAATGTTTCTTGAAAATGCTATAAAACAATATGAAACCAACATGAATACAAATGACTACATTTCTTCACATTTTTAAAAGATTGTTCCTTTTCTTTTTTGCAGATGCTCTAATTTGTTATTGACCCATTTAATAAATATTCTGCTACATATATAATAAAGTTCAATACAAACTGTCATAAACTAGCGCTATTGTAAGCTACAGTGTTGGGGAAAGTTACTTTTAAAAGTAATGCATTACAATGTTGTGTTACTCCATAAAGTAACTATTTACTTACTGATTACTTAATGGTAAGTAATGCATTACATCACTTTTGTCACCTGGGCTGAGCTTGCGTATTTGTTTTTATTTTTTTATAACAAAAACCCCTTTCACATCAAAAAATGAAATTAATAAGGCTCCGGCCGAAGGAAGTGCCTCTGCACTTCCTCCCAATTTCTCTCAACGTGGGGACAGGAGAGAAGTCAGTCAATAAATGGGAAAACAAAGTAACTGGCGTTACATATTTGAAAAAGTAACTCAGATATTTAATTGTAAATTTAAAAGTAATGCATTACTTGAAGAGAGTAACCTGATTACGTAACTCACGTTACTTGTAATGCATTGCCCCCAACACTGATAAACTAGCAGTGACCGTATAATTTCTTCATATCATTACAGTGTTAAAGGTGGTGTTGACCATTTCAAATTGGGTCGTCATGTAGAAGCAATGAATGAGTACAAGAAGGCTTTAGAGATCGACACAAACAACGTGGAGGCTCTTGTGGCACGTGGAGCTCTGTGAGTCATGATAAAATCATGTTCATATATTGAGTAATATTTGCACGTTTATTGTTCTGCCTTGTTACATAATTACTGAAGCTGTTTTTATTTTTTTGTAGATATGCAACCAAAGGAAGCTTGATGAAAGCTATCGATGACTTTGAACTGGCTTTGGAGAACTGCCCCACACACAGGAATGCTAAGAAATACCTCTGCCAGACACTGGTGGAAAGAGGAGGACAGTATGTCATCGAGAAATAGTGTTGCTACTTCTAGTTCTCCGGTGGAAATTAGTTTAATGCTTACATGTGCCAAAAAATAGAGAGTCCACAAAAAGGCCACACAAAGTTATGCGTTACAGTGTTTTTACCACGATTTAAGTTGCATTTACAATGCAAAGCTTAATGCTCAGATCCAATACTTATCTATTTTTTGTGCGTGTGTGTGCCCTGCCTGTTTAAATGCACTTAAAGGGATAGTCATCTCCACCCCTAAACCTATCCTTCACCCCAATCCCTAAACCCACCCTTCTCCACTCCTAAACCTACCAGTCTCCACCCCCGATCCCTAAACCCACCCATCTCCATCCCAAACCTACCAATTTTCACCCCTAAACCTACCCGTCTCCACCCTCCGATCCCTAAACCCACCCATCTCCACCCTTAAACC